AACGCAAAGGAATTTTTCTGCTGTGTCAAGATAAAAGATCATCAGTTCAGCATTCATATCTGAGTGGCAAACTGTATATTCTGGTCTGTTGGATCCTTCATTGCTATGTTTAAATATATGGTAAATATTCTGGTAATATTATATGTTAGAATTTTTTCTCTTGGTAGGCTTGGGAGGAAGGACATTATTGCTTTGAGCACCTGGAAAGGGAACACACTCACACACACCTCTTCAAGAGTTACAGGGACAGCGGCTGTTCTTCAGGACCGTCCTGTCTGGAATACAGTAAGGCCATGGCAGCCTGGCTAAAGATGAAGAGTGTGGGCCTGCAGAGTGGATCAGGGTCAGTATCCTGAGGGCAGTCCTGGCCCAAGTGGGTCTGAGCAAGCTCAGCTCCAGGCAGCTTTTCAGTTCATTGCCTGCCTCCGAGAAGCGATGCAGTGACTGCTCCATAGTTGTCCCCATGTGTAATAATAGTTGGTGTCTGCTTGCTCCCCAGTCTACAAAATGGTGGATGCCTCCCTGGTGTCAAAAATCTTCTTTTCCTCACATGTGGTATACCCATGTCTTGTTTTTCTTTCTTTCCTATTCCTACAGCTACAGGCTTTTGTGTTTATTTAGGGTTTTTTGTTTTTGATTTTTTGAACAGGCTCTGCTTAGCTGGGCGATTTAAATCTGAATAACATTTGTAAATATATTTATTGACCTAATTTTCATCTGCCAAAAAATTGGTTTTGGCCCCTGTAATCTCGAGGTTCGTTCCATCTCTCAGAAGTCAATCTGGGCTCTCAGTTACACAACTCGCCTACAGCTCAGTCAGGCAGCCAAGCAGCGACCTTGCAGTAAGGACTGTACATAATTGTGTAACAACAATATTACGGGAACATGGCACAGAGAATAGAAATAGATTTCCAACATGACTGCATCATATCTTCTCAACAAGCAGAAAAAATATTTCTATATGCATAGCACATACACTGCAGAGTTTCTATAATATTAAACACTTTAAAGTTATGATGAAATCTGTGCTAAAAGAGACAGGAAGAACTTTGGCGACCATGGCAAGTGGAGCTTCAACTCTGCCAGGATTGTGTATCCTTTACTCTCTGGGCTAGATGCCCACCTGTTGGAGGAATGGAAAAGAACCTCTGCTACTCACCACTCTGACAGTTTAGTGTAAAATATTTAAGTAATGATTTAATTATTCACAAATATTGGTTTAGATAACATAGGCACATTTTCTACATTTTCCAAATACTGTGGAAAGGCGTAATATTCATAAGATGATAGTAGCACAGTTGATATTACCCATTTTATTTACTATTGTTGGTTTTACTTAGCAGATGTCACAATGTAGGCAATTTCTATTAATGGGAGTATTGAACAGTTTGAAACTGGGCTTTCGAGTGAACCAGCTGGTTCAGAAATGATATTTACGTACACATGCATTCTATGTGATAAACCTAGTCTCAAATACATATTTTTCACAATGTATCTCACCTAATTCTCTACTCTTTAAATAGCTATCCATTCTACAGTTGTGAAAACAAAACAGCACCAAATGCAGAAGAGCCCCTAAGCATTTGCTCTTCCTATGCAATGCAGAACAGTGTGTATTAGAAACTCATAAAGCTACATATGAACCAACTCTCTGTTGGATCAACAAAGCAAGGATTCCCCCAAAATATTGTGTATTTGTGAACCAGGGCTGTGTACCTATGAGAGCAGGCATGAGGCTCCTCTGTGGAACCCACCGGTGGTTGACACCTGGAAGCGGCCAGGCTGGAAATGAGAAACAGCCTCTGCTTAGTCAGCACCTGCTTCCATCGCGCCTTCCATTGCATCACCCCTTCCCTGTCCCAGTTCTTCTCAGTCCTCCCTTCTTCCAGTTGGGCTGTCTTTCCTACCGTCCTCCCTTCCTCCAGCCTTGGATATTTCTGCTCTCTGTTCTCTTTCTTCCAGCCCAAAGCACCCATCCTTCAGTAGATGGAGATTTTTATTTAAGAGATTCTCAGATAATAGTGAATGCTGAATATCAAGGTATTCACTGCATGAAATGCACTCTTTAACTGGATTTTGAAAAAAACAGATTCTTAGATTAAATAAATAAAACATTAATATGGGAATGTTTCTGAGTAGGCAAAGACTTCCTGGTATTTTTGCTCTATTCCAGCCTACTGTCAATGTTTTCCAATAAATTAAATAGTTCACAATAAGCAGTCACTTTACTTATACAGTTCTCTTCTGGGCCACACAATCCAAGTGAGAGTAAAGAGTTGTGCCTCAAGATGCTCAGAATTGAACAATGCAGACAAATAAGATAGGAATACCTTTCTTTGTCTTAACAGTAGTTGTATTTTAGCATTTATATAATTTTGTGGATGAATGATAGTTTCACATAGTTCAAAACATTTAACAAGGTATGTATGAAGTCTGGTAAAACTAAAAAAATGCTTTATAAAATAAACAGAATTGTTTGAATGGATCTAATATCAAATAATAAACTACTTCTGGAAACTTAAAAAAAAATTAAGAAGGGTAAAATGGACACAGTGAAAGTTTCTCTGTCAACCTCCCACCTGCTGGTTTCCACATGTACAATGAAATAATGTATGTTATTAGTTTCTTCTGCAGATTTTCAGAGATTTAGAAGTGTTTCTATAAGCAAACACAATGTATATTCCTATATGAATTTTTAAGATAAATGAGACACGCTCTATAGACAGTTTTCTTTCTTGATGCATTTATGTACCTTTACATATCAGTAACACAGAACCTCCCTATTCTTTGAATTTTTTTTCATTATGGTTGAATAGTACCCAATTGTATATGCCATGATTTATTTAAACCATTCTTTATTGACGAACTTCTGGATTGTTCCAATCCTTTGCTATTACAAGAATTGTAGCAGTAAATAACTTTGCGCACTCATCATTTTGCCCATGTGTGAATGTGTCTGTAGAAAAAGCTCCTAGAATTGGAACCGCTGAGTCAAAGAGTATATGCATTTTTAATTTCAATAAATATTGCCAAATCCACTTCCAGAATGATTATACCTATTTACACTCCCACCAGCAGTGAATCACTGTTCTCATTTCTCTGTATCTTGCCAAGCCGAAGGGTTGTCAAATTTTTGGATTTCTACCAATCTGATAGTAAAATATAGTATCTTGATGTAATTTTAATTTGCATTTTTCCTTGTAGAAGGGATTTGAACATCTTTTCATATATTTATGAGTCATTTGTATTTCCTTTGCTGTGAACTATTACTCACTTTCTAATAGGGTTCTTTTTTAGTCCTCTTTGGATTCTGTTGTCTATGTACTGAGAGTTGAATTGTTTCTCTATATGTAAACTTCAAATACTTTTTCTCAGCTTGCTATTTGTTTTCACTTAAAATAATTGTTTTAAATATTAAATAATGTGGGTAAATTGCCTTAATGTTTCATGTCATTTTACCTAGACACACAGCTATGGGTGAAAATAGAAAGATAAATACAGGCAGACAGAGTGTATGTGCATAGATTTTTTTCTAAAGGCCTTCTATTGTTTTTCTCCCTAAGGATCTCATGCATCTATTTGCAGGGTCAATTCTTCCTGTAGGCGAAGGATGAATGTAAGAGTATTGTACAAAAGAAGCTCCGAGTATTTATTGAATTGCTTGCTCTATATGTGAAAACCTTTGATAAATCACAGAACCCTAACTATAAATAATACTGGTGGTAAGAGTTGTTATTCTCACGTGTCAACAAGGAAACAGGTTTAGAAGGATTAGTAGTTTGTCCAAATTCACTCTACTGGGTATTAGAACTTGAGCCAAATCTTCCTTACTTCCTATCTTCCTTTCTTTCTACCTCTCTTCTTTTCTCCTTTCTTCTTCCTTTTTACTTATTGGGCATCTTCTATCTGCTGGGCATTTGCTTAGATGGCCAGAAGAAAACCCCTTCTCTCAAGCAGCCAGTAAGTAGCATTCTATTTTGTCTGATGTTCACTCAGGATTTTCTTCACTGCATAATACATGTCTCCCAGAATTACAATAGGAGCACCGGACTCTGTTAGGAAGCTAGCCATTTTTATTGCTACTTAGCACACAAAAGACCAAAGCCCAGGCCAGTTTTAACCATGAGGCAATAGGATCTAGATGAAGACCTTCTGAAGTCAGCTGTTGTAGTTAAGCATGGCTCACTTGTTGGTAAATGGATCACATGAATTGCATGCAGAGTTGCCTACATGTGCACAGGCTGTAGGATTTGATTCCTGGGAATAAATAAAATAAAAGACTAAAGATGGCTCCCAAATCACTGCAGGATATTAAAGTGAAGCTAACCACGCAAAAGACACATGACATTTCCCTGTGAATAGATAGACTGAGCATTTTGGTTCTTATGCTAGTTTTTAGCTGCCAGTGATTCTTGTGGCGCAGATCCAAGATTTCAGGACACTATCACATTTTTAAGTTTTCCTAATGAATTATAATAACATTTCTGTGGTTTACATCAAATTGTGTTGAATGGCATTTTTAGCAAATTGTGTCACTTGTGAATTTCCAAATTTTACAAAATTTCTTTTGCCAAAAAATAATCAGTGAAAATGATTTTGTGTGAAACTTTTTGAAAGCCAAGTTTAGCGGATTTTGCTAAACAGCACAGCAAACACTTTATTCACTCTTTCTCCAAATCCTCTTTCTGGGCCTTATTCTCTTTCCAGCCCCTAGCCTTTTCCTCCCTTACTAAGCTTCTTTTATTCTGTTTACTTGCCTTTGTTTCTGCTCCTAGTTCATCTTTCTCTAACGTTATCAGCCCTCCCCACCGGCCCCCAACCCCTGACTATACCAAGCCTTGGGCTATAGCTTTGGCTGGAGGGTCATGAGGTCATGGATTTTTCCACGAAGAGAAGGAAAGTAAAAGGGAAAAAGGGAATGATCATTTTTGCTGTCTCTCTTTTGGCCTTGGTGCTAAGAAATTCATTTGCAAATACCCTGGCAAGCATTATTGCTGTGAGATTGAGACAAAACACAGTCTTCACTGCAAGAGAGGCAGAGTCACATTGCTGAGGATAAAAGAACATATTGAGGTATGCCTGGACTTATGTTTTGAGAACTTTGCATATGAATGGTTACACCACCTCCGTAGAGTTTGAGACTGTTCTAAACGGATCTATTTCCCAAAGATAGAGACAGGGACTGGGAGTACAAACAGTGTATGTTCTGGAGTCAGAATTCCTGGATTTAAGTCCTGGCTCTCAGCCCCTGAATCTCCTTGAGGGTCAGTATTCTCTGTTACCACCTGAGGAAGCTAGCAACTGATAGAGTAATAATCAGAACAGTAGTTACCACTGACAATTGGTATTTAAATACTCTATATGCAGAGTATTTAAGAATGTACATGCCTCATCTCAAACCCCTTACAGCATTATCATCCTCATTTTATGGATGAAGAGAGTGACATAAGGAAATATTAAATTATTTTTTTCTAGGCAACATAGTTGAGCATTGCAGCTGAGATTTGCCTGATTCCAAAGTGACTCTTTGGATCACCGTACTAGGTAGGTGTGCATATTAAATAATCAAAATACAGTGCCAATATATAGGAAGTGGTCATTCTTTTGTTTTGTTTAGAACTGTGTTAATTCTAGAAATCCTGGGAGGCATAAAGATAGCTTTAGTTCTTGCTTTGGCTTCCGCAGAAGTTTCTCTATTCATCTCTTTTATGAGGGGAGAGACCAGACCAAAAGACTGAGTGAAGGCTGCGACTCAAACCATGGGAGTTAGCAAGTCATCAGCAGCATTACTGCTTTGACTGTGTAGAAGACTCAGTCAGTACACGGGCTGAAAATGTCACAACAGACTGAAATCAGGGGATTATTCCCAGAGCTTGTAGGAATGGAAGGGTGGATGGGACAGAGATCAGAAACATTCTCATCACCAATGACTTGTCCTGGTATTCCTCATGCAAGCCACAGAAGCTTACAGTGGCTATTGCAGAAAAGCCACATAATTACAGAGCAGTGCTCTTGAGGCTTCCATGTGTGCTCTGCGATCCTAGGCTGTATCTAGACCATGTGCTAATTTCTACCTGCTGAATACAATTGGGTTTGCAGTAAGTGATGCCTTCAAGGGCTTTCTCAGTAACCCATCTCGGGGCAGGATTCTCCTGTAAAGCGTGTGAAGCTCAAGAATCATCACAAACACCTGATGAGTATGTTCTGCCCAAGGAGAATAATGAGTCTTCTGCCTGGAAGATCACAAAGCCCCCAGAGGATGGGCAAATGCCTTAGGTAGGTCTGCAAATGTAGGCGTCTGTGAATTTAGCAATGCTTTTTAAAATCACAGTTTGTGAAATCAGCGTTATTTTTAAGGCTTCAAGAGGTTTTTGATTATTTTGTGACCTTTGCCTTAAACAGAGCCTATTACTTTGATAGAAGAATTTTTGAAGTGCTTCACGGTCTCTTGCTGTTCCTCTGGGGTCCGGGTCAACATTCCTAGCATCTCTATTTTAAGATGAAACACAGACAGTTTAAGTGACTTGCCCATGGGCTCCCGGCAAGCCAGTGTCTGTGCTGGACCCAAACTTCTTAAGCTGTTGGCCTTAGATTAGTTCACTGAACCACATGTTTTCCCTAGCAATTATTTATACACATTATGCATCTGACCTGGATATGCTAGTGGTTATTTTCCACTTGCATAATGAGGAATTCATCAGGCTTCAGAGAGGGAAGATTTCCTTAACACAGGGAGCTGAGTCCTTTGTGTGGACCTGACCTTAGGAGTTCAGGAAAGGTCAGGAAGCACAGCATACCCTCTCTGGGGCCCAGGGCTGACAGTGAGCATTCCGGGTAGAGCCCTATTGGAAAGGAGAGGAGCAGGAGCTTGAGCTGCCCTGTGAAAAAAAGACAAGGGGAGACATTTTCTTGCTTGGGTTTTCGTGAATGTAAAATACAGTCGAGGCGTGCAGTGCTGGAATCCATGCCTGCCTTCTAGGCAACTGGAGAGGATCTTTAGGAAATATTGTGGGTAATGAAGCTTCTGTTTAGGCACAACGGTAATGCAGGGTCTTTGTACAGAATGAAGCCTTCTTCTTTTGTCTTTTGTACTCAAGAGGACAGATCATGGGGGGTATTTTAAGAAGTATGCAGGGAGAATTAAGTATCATAGTTTGGTAAACTTTCTTTTAAAATGATTTTTATCAATAGTTTTAAAAAACAAAACTATGTAGTCCTATTATATTTCTTAAACTTTAGAAAACGTAGTTAGCAAAGGCAAGTAAATAAAATCACCCTGAATTCTACTACTCAGAGGTAATCTTTATTAATATTTTGGGATTTTTTTTCTCATTTTAAAAAGTGGGCTGTGTTTTCTTTGAAACAGTGATTATATATTTAAATATATAGTTTACTATTTATTTTATTACCCATCAAATTATACTATAGATATTGCCTTACAACCTGCTTTTTAAACTTAATGCATTTTCAAAATCTTCTCTAGTCCTTAGTTTTCCCCAATATCAACTCCTTATGCGTAGCATTCTGCCATAAGGATGTATCATTCTTTATTTAACTAATTCCGCATTAATAGACATTTATGTTGTTACTAGTTTTCTCTGTTATAAACAGGCGATGATGAAGATGTAAATCTTGTTTACAATAGCATCAAATCATGTATTTCATTTGTACCTTCTGCAAGACCTGAACCAGAAGGTGACTGAGCAATGTTACTGGTGTATTAATCTTTTCAAGGGAAAACTTGAGAAGAGAGCACTGCATGAGTCTAGCCAGGGCCAAGGTGATAATATGTCAAGCCATAAAGAGCTCATTCCTGTTCACTAGAAATGGAGATAAACCTAATACAGAAAGAGCTGGATGTGGCTAAGGAAATATATTTCTCATACAGACTCTATAATGATAGAACAGCACTTAATTAAGATGCTGAATGCAACACTTAAGAAGTTGTTAAAAAGTAGGAAACTCATTTGTAAACTTCGAGGAGGCTAAAGTAGTTGTCCAGGACCATAAATATATTAGTCTAGTTGTCTTTGAAGTGGCCTTTCCAAAACACATGTTTAAAATAAAAACTAACAAACAGAAAAACTCCAAACCTCTGAATAACAATGGACCCTCCTCCAACTTCCCTTTTTATTTCATTTGATTTTCCATTAGCCTTATCTGATTGTAGTTTTTCAAATTCTGTGGATATCATTAAATGTTTGTAGGAAGACCATGTTGCTACATGTAAATCCCTCCCACCCTTGGGCAGCTCTGGATCACTAAATAAACAAACCTAGTCTTTTTTATATAATTCCCCTTAAATTAGAAACCTTTCTGAACATTAAAAGGAGGCCGTTGAAATTCTATCAATTCTGAACTCAGCTCCTCTCTACTCCCCCAGTCCCAGCTATGGATTTTTAAAGCATATACACTTTTTTATGACTTTTAAGCCAGGACTGACAATAACTTGATGGGTAGACAAAAATCTCTAGGCCTAAGGGCCATGTGATCTTAGCAAATTGAAGTAATTCTACAGGCTGAGGTAACACAAAACATACATTTTTTTGACAACTCAGACATTTATGGTTTATATCTTCAATACCAGGGCCAAGAAGTGGTCCAATGATGTCAGCTTTCGCCCAGATAGTTTGGATGGCTCTGTGAACATGGTTAGAGAATAACATGTTTTGTTTTCCTTCTCCTAGGGGTGACCATTGTCTCCAGTCCATCCTGTGCTCAGTGAGTCATTAATTAAACCCAGAGTCTCCATAAGTGACCTGTTTTGGCATTGAGGTTCGTTCCCAACTTACTCTGCTTCCCTGCGTAATATTTGGCTGGTGTGCTCTGTTTTTATTTTATTTTTTAAAATTTGCCTCATTCTTCCTCACACCACGAGGATTCATTTTTGAGATGGAGAGCAAAAGGCTAGGTTAAGAAAAACATAGCCACCTCCAGAGTGCAAAAACTGCAATAAACCCATCACCTCTAACAACAGCAGAGCATGAAAAGATAAAAAACAGCCTGCCAAGAATGTAGTAACCACCCATTCACTTTTAAATGCTCTCCACACTCCAATGCACAGACCTAATTACTTTTCTGCATTCCCAAATCCACTTTGCCGGGACTGCAATCAGAAACCTGGCGTTAAAATATTTTAGACTTGGAGGATCAAGACTAATTATGGGCCTTAGCTGCACCTTTTGGTTTTGCTCCCCCTTTCCCCTCCTCCTCTTCTGCGGGTTACTTTAAAGCACGCTCCACTGGAAGAAAGCCTGCCCAGTCCCAGTCGGGGGTGAAGCAGTGAGAGAATAAAACAAAGAACAACTCAACTCAATTCAGTAAGCTTCAATGAGGCTGGTATATTTAATGTGAGCCCAGGGTTAGCCCACAGAATTGTGGCAGAATGCAATATTCTCAACAAAAAACCATGTGTTTAAGGTCGGGCAAGGCCCCATAAGGCTGTTGTTGGTGTTTAAGCAGTCCACCGAGGTATTTAGCACCAAGGGTTTCTAAACATTCCAGCTGAGAATTAAACCGCAGCTTTACAGTAGCTGCTTAAAGATTTGGGGGCCTGGGAGTGTCCCCTCCCCCTTGTATTGAAAGGTCAACAAACAGTAGGAAAGATCATGTCATAACAAGGATGAAGTCACCTATTATGGAGTATAGTGACAGCTAATAGCACTATCAGAGGAACTAATCCAAGGTATTAAATAGTGTCATTGTTAGAATAATATCATGGCTGTTAGGACACGCAAGCGTGAGACGTTCTTCCCTTTAGGTAACATGAAAGTGTTGCAGGTGAGCTTAGCTTTCCCAGGACAGGCACTTGCTATAAATATGGAAATATTACAAAATTGCTTCAGTACTAGTTTTCCTGCAGCATGCAGAATGGCTTTTTGATACACAGATGTTATGTTTCATGGCATTCATTAAACTATTTTAGGCTATTTTGTGAGAGTTACCCTCCTAAAAAGCTTTCATTCACACAAAACAATTTACCGTGAACACTGGTGCTAACGTTTGACTTCTTTGTGGCATTTTTTAGTTTCATGGACTTAATATGACAAATACTAATATTAAAAATAGCATAGTGCCTTAGAGATGAATTCCTGAAAAACCTAAGAGGGGTTGAATTCTGATCGAGTTAACCTCATGAAGCTTCATTTCTCAAAGTGAATTTTGGAATTTCGAGATTGAATTTGGGCATATATATCTTCGCTTTACAGAATTCTTAGTTGGAATATTAAAAAGAAATGTGATCCACTTGAGGGGGAAAAATATCACAAACACAGAAGAAACTTCAGCACCAACATACACACAGCTACTAGAATTCTTTCTTATTTCTTTTAGTTTTCAGGAGTCAAGTATCCACACTGTAAGTTGTATTGTAAGAGATAGTTTAAAACAATAAGATGTTTCAGATGGTCAGGATTTGCAGGGTACTTAAAAATAATACCAGGGGCACATACATTGGTGGATAACTACCAATTAATCCTCCTTGTTAAATAGGTAATGTCTTCTACTCTGAGGCTTCAAATATCAGAGAAATCATGGGCCAAAACAGTAATTATCTTCAGAGAATTCAAAGGCTTGAAAGCCAATGATTCCAAAGAAATAAAAACAGAGTACTTTTCACTGTATAGACTTCATCCTAAAACCTGTAATAAGAGCCAGGCCTTGGCTGTGAACCTTTATACTTCAAGGTGAATGCAAGGAGGCTGAGGAAAGCAAAGGCAATAATCACAGGGGCTTTTCCTGCATGAAACTATCCGGAAGTGAAGGTCAGAGACCAAACCTTCTTGGAATTCTCTATACCACAGAGCTCTGATCCAACATGGGAATGAAGGGCTGGATTGGCCAAAAGTAGAAAAATATTAAATTATAGGGCTGAAGAGGATGACAATAAACTCAATTTAAAATGCCTAGCAGTTTAATTTGAATTTTTAAAGCTCAAGTGAAATAAAATAATCTTTTCTGGAATAAAAAAAAGTAATCATAGAATTTCTTACATGTCATGGCAAATTCCTCTTAAGAAAAGCATTTATTCTTAACATCTCGTCTCTTTTATGCTACTTTCATATTTTATAAGGTCCAGTCTTGGGAATCTGTAGCTAGTAGTTCTGGTCATTAAATACAGTATTTGACAAGTCAACTAACTCTCTCTTAATTGTACTTTTACCTATTTTTAAACTTTTTCCTTTTTTTTGGCTATATCAAAAGGAAAAATAAAATAAAGTCCCTAAGTCAAAGATACAATAAATCTTCTAAGTTGTATCTGTATATTCCATGGGGAATACACTAGCATTGGGGGGCTTCTATATTTTTAAACACATGCCTTCTTAATATTCTGTAGGAGGCCCTGACTTTTGCACATTCACTACCAATTTCACAGAAATTCATGGGGATAACACCTACTTTTCACTTAGCAAGGTCAGGGCACAAACCTATATGCCTGATTTAAATAAATCCTTTAGCCCCATCATTATAAATCTATACCAGATGTTAAAGAAAGTAGAATATAACTCCCCATGGTCCAGTTGCTCTAACTACTTCTGATAATTCTGTGAATTTAGGAGAACACATTTGCATATCTTAAAGTAGACTTTCCCACTGAAATGAAATTTTCAAGACTTTTGTTTCCTGAGTTATAGGTTAATGCCAGGACTGGACATAGCTGCAATATCTAAGATATTGAATGTAGTCAGTTTGTAGACTGAAGAAGGTTCTTGAAACTGTTGATAAGATTTATGTATGAGGAATAGTGTCACTCAACAGTGGCCTGGTAAATGCCTCACAGGATGTCTTGGGATTTCAATCCAAAGAGACTGGATGGACGAGGCACTTTGATGTTCCCCTCTAATACTTAATGTGATATCATGATGTGTCTAATTTAGATTAAGGCATTTTGTTATACTTAAGAGAGTACTTTATTTTCTGACTTTAGGTGTACAGATTTATTTAAAATTACATTTATTTTAGAAACTACATAGAAAACTGCTTGTATGTGAGCTGGCAGGAATATTGGAATTCTTATACAGCCAATGCAAAAGTGCTGTTTTTAGCATTTCAAATTACTTAGCACATTTTAATTCTTTCATGTTCCTTTCTCAGGGTTTTCAATAAGGAAATAGTGGCGACTCCTTTCCAAAAGTGGAAAGCAAGTGCATGGGTTATAAGAATGTTTCTCACATCCTGCGTGTTACTCAGAAGTCAGATGCTGAACCAACTTCTTGTTGTATTAACTGATTCTGTCATATTAACTAAGAAACAGAAGAATAAGAGATGAACAAACTGAAATTCCTCTCAGTGACTCACAGGGCGAAACATCTCAGTGGTCCTTTAAACTACTTAGTCAACTAACTCACTTCCTACCCTTTTCTTGATGTTGGTGACTCTCACATTTGTGTCTCCATTCCTCACTGTTTACCAGTTTCAGGCTCACTGTACACGTTTCTACGGCCCATTGGTATTTGTGTCTCCATGCTGCATGGAACACTGTGAACTTAGAACCAAACCTACTTGGTTTCTCTCCTGTCCCATGTTTATGATTTATTTACTTCTAACTCAAAGGCTTTGCTCATGTCTTTTCCAGACCTGGATGTCCCTGTTCCACACTGGCTTGTTGTTCTTGTGACTATTCACAACACCGCCATTGCCCAAGCTCTCCAGATTCAAAACCCTGAAAACATTTCCAACTTACTGCTCTCCTTCATTCTTCATAATTTTGAAATTCTTGATTATTTTCCTTTGAGATTGAGTGCTGTGACTTTACTGCCTTTCTCTTCCAGTCATCAGACAACCCCAGAAACCTAGCATCCTTGGTTCAATTTATGCAGCACCCCACCTTGCCTGGCCACCTCTCTCCTCCCTGTAATCCTGCGGCTACATGAATGTTTGTAACACTCAGCTCCCTGATCAAACCTGTTACGGCTCCAAATTTCCCAATGTCACGCCTAAATTCTCCTTCAGTTTCTTCTCCATCTTAATTATGGTATCGTCACCATCATGTTACTGCTCCCAAGGTGGGCTCATTTTTGCAGTCTTCTTGGTGGTCCTCATTCTCAACCCTCCATGTCAGCTCTTTGTCTTCTCATTTACCTCCCCAAATCATAATCACTTTTCAGCTCCTTCACTTTGAGATTTTCCTGCTTGTTTTCATTAACTTTGAATCCTTTTCTTTGAACTTCTAAGTCACATTTTCAAATTTCATGATCACTATGGCAGCTTTGGGAGAGTGGAAAGAAGTCTGGATGGGAATCAGGGAAACTTGGTTCCAAAACAGATTTCAATGATATATTAATGCTGGAACTAGAGTAAGTCATCTTATCTCCCAAAGCCTTTCTTGGCTTTTCTATAAAATGTGAATATTAACAAGTGGGATAGAAAATGATAACAAATGTGTATGTACTGGTATGTAATAACATCCTAAGTGGTATTAAACTTCATTATTTCAAGTTGTCTTCATATCTGTATGTCTTCTGAGTTTGACTTCTGGAGAGCAACACTGTGTTTTACATTTTTCTCACTCTCCAAAAGCCCTGGGTAATGTTATGTAAAAAATTTATGTAATAATTTGTGGCCAATCAGTAACTCTGGAGTTAACCTATCATTTTGGAAACTTGGCCTAGAGTTTCCCAACAAAATATCTTAAAGCCAGTTTAATCTTGGGCTTCAAAAATACCAAGAGTAAAACCTAACCAACAAACCACCACCACCTAAAAGTTAAGCCTTGAATAGAGAAATCTCATCCATGCTAAATTCTTTGGATAAAATGTTACAACTTTATTT